GCTGATTGCAAACCATTACGTAAAATAATAAATTTATCTTTTTTAGCCACAGCAATTTGGATTGGTATGAGTGTACACAGTCGAATAATCCAGCTGTCATATATATAGATAAAGATCTATTGTTAGAAAGGGACAAAATTTTTAGAATTACTGAAATAAATCCAACTCACTTGTCAGCTTTGTGGCTCAAGAATTCTAAAGCATTTTTATGAAACAAAATATCACCAAGTTTCTTAACGTAAATGGAGTAATTTTCTAATGGAGTGATATCTTTTTTTGTCGCTTTTCGAACGCCTTTTAAGCTATTTTTCATGTATTTGTCATAGCCTTGTTGAAGTTTTTGTAAATCTTTTGGAATATTCTCTGGAACATTCTCTGGAAAATTCTTTGGTAGATCCAATACTATGGTAAGCTTCATTGAGGTGGTACCATCCTGTATACATGGTTCTATAGGATACTTAGTAAAAAGATGCGAATAGACATCGATATAAACGTTCGATCTCTGTTGTTTGTCTATAGTTCGCTTCCCAGTATCTTTTTCAACTCCGTATTGATGCTGATCGTTTGTGATATTTACTTTTGCTGAAACTACTAAGTTATGTGCCAAGTCAAGCGCAACAAAATGTTGGATTTGCTCAAAATACATGAATCGATAATGAATTAAAGAATGTGAGGATAAGGGAATTTCGATTTCCAGTGGTTCGCCTTGTTTTACAAAAAATACAAGTGCTTGTACTGTATCCTCATTCGTATTAACAGGAACTGCTGGGTGTTTGTCTTCAATTCCTTCTGAAAACTCTCCAGTATCAACTAAGACATTGCCTGCAATCTTGCTAACTGCCGTATTAACGTTTTCGTTAGTCTTTTGTTTGAACACAAATATACAAGAACAATCTGGTGAGCTTAGAATAGAGGCTGCATCCTTGGGAAATTTTTCAAAATTGTTTAAACAACAATTCATGTAGTCGAATGTATAAGCTTCCCCATCTTCTTTAACAAAGAGCATTGAAGATTCACCGATCCACAAGAGGTGCTTAAGTGTTGATAACTGATATTTTCGTACGAGATTTGAATATAGCGGACCCACCTCTGTCTCATTACCGTAAATATTGTAAATATTCAGCTGTAATTATTGTAAAAGTTTGTTTAAGGATAATAATAATGCTATGCATAATACAATGCTTAATTCTTTTGAACTTACAACACCACATTCGTCGTTACTATATGTTGCCATAAAACCCGTCGAGTAATTTACTGCAATCAGCGAATCCTGAGGTTCGTCCATGAGTCTGACCCGAGATGGCACTGAATCTCGTTTGAATTTTTCCTTTAGTTCAGGAAGCGTTCCATAAAAGATAGCATAAACATTTTTTTCGGTGTCCCATAAAACCAGAACGAATTTTCCATCATCAAGTTGGCAAAGTTTCCTAAACATTCTTATCAGTATAACAAAGATTAAAAGTCAAATACATAATAATAATAACAATATCTTACCTGATTTCAAAACTCGCATTTATATATAAGATGTTTCGATATGAAGTCGATAAACTTGTATTTGTGTAATTGGCATTTGCTATCCTGTCAGGTAATTCCAATATCTCTAGTTCACATAGAGGAGGATTGACTACTTCAATGTCATAACAAAACTCGTAATAATAATAATAATGATGATGGTCAACTCTTTGATATGTTTGCAAATTTTTGACAAACATTTTCTTCCTATTGATAAAGTATAAGTCAGCCAAATTTTAACAGTGAGAACAATTATTAATATAACTTACTCAGCAGAATACATTGATTCAAGTTTTTTCTTCAATTTTTCAGATTCTATTTTACCGAGATGATATAATTTTTCCGCATACTTGAAAAAACTTCTATCTTCAGTCATATTTTTAATATGCGGTTTCCAACATTCCTCCAGCTTTTTGTTAATATTCTCTTCATCCTTCCACTTTTGATACTCCTTCTGAAGCTTTGCAATATCAGTTTCATTTGCAATGTGTACTATAACAGCAATAAATTTGGCATCTGATATTGTATCAATTCCATTCTTGCTATTTGTCAAAACGTTGCAAACGGTACTCAATGCAGACTTAGCTAATCTGCAATTTACATGAATTAATGTGGAAAGCATATGTGCACACATTAATAGCAGTTTTTACAGGACAATATAGATCAATTCACTGGATTAATAATAATATGTCTTAGAATAATAAATATTTCCTTACTTTTTATAAGAAATATTTTGGAAATCTTCGTTATTTTGTTTGGTTGTTGATGTTGATGTTGTTGTTGTTGTTGCTGTCATTGTTATCATTATCATTATCGTCATTTTAGGTATTTTTAGTTAATGCCGCATTGAACAAAGAAACCACAGCGAAACAAATTTGACTTCTAACAATTTTGATAATTAAATCACCTTTTGAATTAGCCAGCTGTTTCTTTTTATTGCAAAATTCACGCTTTAATGACTTCCACTCCTTGCTACCAATCTGTATAATCTTAGCCTCTATGTCTTTGCAAACTTCTGCATGTCCAACATAAAGTTCTTGAAGATCTTTATCAAATGAATGCATTAAATTAGAAAAGTTTTCAAAAAGCTTGCTTTCTCTAAAGTTATAATTACCGAGGTTGTCCTTTATTGAAGATGTGTTGAAACTAAAAAGCCCCTTTTTAAAGAGACTAAAATTTAAAACTTTTAGGAGTTATATTTTAATTTTACTAACACATCAATTTAGATGCATACTTACATATCATAATTTTTCAGAGTTGAAAGAGCCCATTGATTTACTATTTTTTTGTACTCATTAATTTTTTCATCCCTTTGTTTTATCAAGTCTGATATTTTGTTCTTATATTCAACTAAAAGATCAGGTTTAGCTAAACCCTCGTTAATCAAAAGATCTAGTTTATCCATACTCAAATCACTTAAACTCAACGCATAATGTTCTTCATCCAACTTCCTTTTCAAGAACCCTTGAAATTCATAAGAAGAGTTAAATTTCTTAGTCATTCCTTTCGACATAGTTGTGGATTCACTAATGTTTTGCATAACGGCCAAGGATTGTAGTGTATTTGACTCTATGATGAAAGCTTTTGATGGATCTCCACTACATATGGCGAGTTCCGGTACCTTGATCTGATAAGTAAAAGTAAATGGTCAGACGCTGTATAATCAAACAGCATAATTTAATGTGTTTATTACCTCGAATCCATTTTTTCCAACTGAGACACCTTTTTCTTGTTTTCGGTTTGTCTTAACTTTAATGTTAACAAGCCTGCTTGCATTTGTTAAATTAGTATTTGAAAAGGAAAAATTTCTTAAATCTTCTTCACTCATTAAGCAGATTTGATGGTCCGTCAATCGCGTAAGAAATCTTATAATAATAAAAAACAACATTAGCGAAAGTTTTTATATATTGAATAACAAAAAATTAAATTGATATTTACCGGTGAAGGTTCGTTGCGTTTGTCAGAATTTCTTTTTCATCGTAAAAATGCTTTTCCGGCCATAAGATTACAAGGCCAAACTTTGTAATGGCTGCCACAGCAGTTTCCTGCGACTGCTGGTGATTCATATCCGACTCAATAATTAGCAAATAGAGCCCGGGAGCCAATGATTGTTCGTCCTTAATAAATTTCTCGTATCTGCATAGTAAGTAGGACATTATTGTAGTTATCTAGATAATTAAATGGTAACTTTTCAGTATTTACCTATCTTTGTCAATGACTTTGTTTTGAAGCAACAGCTTAGAAATAATCTTATAATTTCCATAGCAACCAATTAGTTGAATATCGACGTCTGCCAGTTCGTTAAATTGTATATCAGAGACCGAACGATAACTTCCGGGAACCAACGTATTACAGACTTTTTCCAGTTCTTCTGGATGAATAATGGCCTTGCGCACTAGAAAATTATATATTTTAACAATAATTATTTAATTTTGATTTAGCTTTCACTAATGTAAGATAAACATACCGGAACTTGTAGTGCTTTTGTCCAAACACAATTCAACAAGTTGATATAAATTGGGGATGGTTCGGTGGATATTACTGACTTTCACATTAGGGCTTCTGTCATTTATATTATCGTCTTCTTTTGCAGAGACAGGTCCGTCGCCGGAATGCTGACCGTCCGCATTTTGATCATTGTTAATTGGCTCGGAAAACTGCAATGGCATTTGTTTTTGCGCAGGGTCTTCAGTTTCATGCTGTGTGTTAATCTCACGTATGCTGCTTTCCGACTTGGACGTTTCTGAGTAAGTCTCGGTAGCGTGTGAAGAAGTTTCGTTTCCTAAATAGTAGGTAACTATTATCGGTCAGTAATTGTATTTATAAGCGTTGCATAAGAGCTATTAAAAAACTTGCCGTATCCGATAGCGTCAGCACTCTGACCATTGGTAATTGGCTCGGGAAACTGTAATGGCATTTGTTTTTGTGCAGGGTCTTCAGTTTTAGGTTGTGTGTCAATCTCACGTATGCTGTTTTCCGACTTGGATGTTTCTGAGTAGGTCTCGGTAGCGTGTGAAGAAGTTTCGTTTCCTAAACAGTAGGTAACTATTATCAGTCAGTCATTGTATTTATAAGCGTTGCATAAGAGTCATTAGAAAACTTGCCGTATTCGATAGCGTCCGCGCTATGACCATTTGTAATTAGCTCGGGAAACTGCAATGGTATTTGTTTTTGTGCAGAATCTTCAGTTCCATGTTGTGTGTTGATGCTGTTTTCCGACTTGGAGTAAGTCTCGGTAGCGCGTGAAAAAGTTTCGTTTCCTAAATAGTATTATCAGTTAGTAATTGCATATGAGATGAACGTCGCATAAGAGCTATTAGCAAACTTGCCGTGTCCGTTAGCTTCTTCTTCCATGTTTGCAAATTAATTGCTAGAATATTGTCGACACGCTTATATACTAGCGGTAGTCGTAAATCTAGTGGCATTCATTGAAAGATATGGTATGATCTACAATGACCGAAATAGCCGTTGTACTATGCTCGTTAATATTTAAGACTTATATACTATGCCCAATTTGTTTGTTATTCATGAGCCAATAAAAGTTATGATAATGTCGTGAAACTAATGGCGAACAAAGGGCTTCGTTTGTTCGTACACCAGAATACAGCACAAAATGCAAGAATCACTAAATTGTTATTTTTGGGTGCATATGGATGGCTGAGGTGTTAGTGTGTGAATCGAATCTCACGAAGTTTATCCCGTTCATTGTACTATAAGCCTTTTCTGTTGCACGAATAATAGTAAACTAATTTGAGTTTAGTATAATAAACGATTGGGCGAAAATTGTTCCGCGGCATAATTACGCTTATTTGTAGTGCATTCAATTATTAGAGACTGTAATTGTAAGTTGGCCTATGTGGACGATCAGTTCATAAACTATTTTCTTCCGGTCATTGGCAAATGATTACGCCTATCTGTATTACGTACGATTATTAAATTCGGTAACTGATGTAGTTCATATCAAGTTTATCGGAAAATTTACGTGCTGCTTAAAGACAATTCCTTTAATGTAATACCATACTACCGTGAATAAGTACCTACCCTTATCATAGTGCTTATTCACGATAGGATTATTAAAATGATCAGCAAATCGTTACGTAAAGTATGATCCATAGACAAACGTTAAGGGGGGATGGAAAATATAATAAACGTGTTGTTTGTTGACTCATAATTTAATGATAAAGTATCCGCCGCATTACAAGTCAAGTGAACAAATTGATATAATACACAATTAGCGGTCAATCATGTTGATACCTTTTATCTAGCAAGCAAATGACATTAATATCATCTTATCAAAATGCCAAGAAAAACACACAAAAGTTATCCTGCTTTCTTAAAACTTGATGCTAAAAAAGAACAAGTATTATTGGATTGAATTTTGAAATAAAAAATTTTGATTTGTATATTTACGTAATAAACTGTGAGTGTTGGTACGTCATGCAGTTAATCTAGGTAATATTGGGGGTGCTTATTCACGGTAATTACACTTTAACGCATCCTATAAACATAGCCATCTCAAAACCCATTACACATTTAATTAATAACACTCTTAGTTATGCTAAAATCACAAACGTGGGCTATGCAAGTAAAATTTTACTTGTTGAAAAATCTATTTCAACCATACACAATAACTTACTTAATTAACGGTTGTTTAAAAAAAGACTAATTCACAAACAATTGTACTGTAATAATTACTAGAATTTTAATTTATCTCGGTACGTTTTGACAGCAACGGTACTTTGGAAAAGTGTTGAGAACAGAACAAACGGCAAGTCGGACATTGCAACACAGAATACGTAAGGAACAATCCGTACGCAAGCATACTAACGAAGGATTCAAACAAAACTTAACGGCATTGTAAAGCTTTCGACAACTTATCTTCCGAACACGCTTTCACGTAGACAACAATTTGACGCATATACAGAAGAAATAATAACAATGTAAAGCAACAAAATAGATAAGAAAAAGACATGCAACAAAACTTAATACAAAAACGACTCAGTAGACTCACATTTTACTATAAAATTATGCGAAATAATAGTCAATACGGAATTTAAAAGATAATAAAGGCGACGAATTGCAATTGAGCCAAACTCAAAATGCGAAGAATAGGTTTAAAAGTGTATTTGATATTTACAAATTGACATTAGCTTTACTATACCGGTTCTGGACAGACTATCTCAGTTCTGCACTCGGTTGAGGACCATTACACAAACTCAATAACTATAATTTACAAAGCTTCACTGCACATACCATTATCCAATTGAGTGTGAAACATAATATTGTAACAAGACTGTTATCAATTTTGCAAGACTAATATTGTACACTGATTTATGTGATGCATTAAAGTAATGCTTATTAGACATGCTATGGTAAAGTGGCTAAATATGCCGACACCGCAATAACGAAATCTGCTTGTACATTTTGAACAAACAAAATACAATTTTGATTGGCGTATTTGCCCCATTAGGAACAAGACATTTCTTCACGATAAAATCGGCTCGAAGAGTTGTTCAAGAAGCAAACAATCAAATGTCTTTTCCATATTTGTTTATCAGTACAATCTTTATTAACGGATACATAAATATGGCTATCGAGAAAAAAAGCGTAAGGCCAAAGTAAAACAGAGACTGCCATCATCCGACGATAATAGATAGAAAAGCACATAACTTTGTGCATTTTGTTAATTACATAAGGTAAGGGGCAATTTATCATAAAAACAATAAAAACAATGGAATATACTTGAAGAAATTTTAGTATAAAACGCATACTAATACTGTACACCAATACAATGCATGTTTAAACAAGCATATCTATAATTTAACGTAATGCTGTATGGTATCAGGTAATGCGCAAAGCCGTATTATAGTAATGAAGTAAGTGACTGAATATACGACACCAGGCGATAGAACTAAAATAGTGATAAGCGTTTTTATAAACAAAATCGACTCGAAGAGTTGGTTCAAGAAGCTGAGTTATCCAGACTTGAAAAAGGTTGGCGTAAATAGTCGATCAAATTAAAAAAAAACCAAACAAACAAAAACTCCAACATTGACTTATTGTTTATTTTCCATGCCATTCTACCACAGCTTTAATATGCGGACAAAAGTGTATAATTTATTGTTTATCCGAATTGATAATGGAGAACAATTAAATTTACATATTTCTTCAAGTTTATCATCGGGTGTGGCGTCTTCTCATCTAACAGAAAGATGATAACTTTTTCCCTGAAAAGTAGAGTGGGTTTATTACCAGTGAAGGACCACGTAGATTCATCAGTTTTACCTGTTGCTTGGACAACAAAAAATTTACCTCCGTCTTTTTGATGTTTTTTAAGAAGCTCGCCTACAGCTACAATCGCTTTTGCAAACCGTGTTCCGCCACGCCAGAAGCATGGTAGTTACAAAGAGTATTAATCAATGCATCGTTCTATACGAATTTTTGTTCTCCACAGCTATGTGCGCATTAGCATCAAAAAATATGAAAAACATTATATCAATTTCCGCATGGGTAGACCCGTCAGCTCCACATCTGGTATCGATAAATTGCTTTATACGTTCATAGACGGCACCAAGTCGATTATCATGTTTCTCAATAATTTTTTCAGATCCAATTCTATCTTCTGGCCTTTTGTCATTCTTATTCATCGAGCCGGATTTGTCGATAACGAAAACAAAGTGATGAGATCCATAGTGAGAACAATCAATTTGGTGTCCATGCTTTGAAATATGTCCCTCTGACAACTGCATATTTGGGTCCAGATTATCGTGGTGTGCAATAACTTGCACCTAAACTATCGGTATTCATGTTCTTATGTATATGATTATTGCATTGATGCAGGCATTTTCCAAATATTTCTTGTTCATCGGCT